GAGGGGAGCAGCGGGCGGGTCAGGAGAGGTCTGCCACGCCATGTGGTGACCTCCCGGGCAGGCGGGAATCAAACTCATGCGGAAGTGGCTTTAGCCTCTTAGTGCTGTGCTTTAACCCGCTGCGCCACCAGGGAGGGCCATACAACTTTTTTAAACCAAGAATTAACTGTGTTCATTTCTGAATTCTACAACAAGGGGCAGGAACTCAATAAATAATGATTAAACAAATGTCCTAGTTTATTGTGTATTTCCAAATATGTACAGGTATGATCTAATTCTGGCTGGTTTCTTTACTACATTTGGATTAAATTGAAACTCAAATTCAAGAGTTCTTCCCCCTCTGTATTATTTTCTCCCCGCCCCCAAAAAAAACAAGGGGAGAGAATGTGAATAGGTTATTTTTCCAAAAAAGACATACCAATGGCCAGCAGTTCCACCAAAAAATACTCAACATCACTCAGAAGGGAAATGCAAACTAAAACCACAATGATCTCAAACCTGTTAGGATGACTATTATCAAAGAGACAAGCATTGGCAAGGAAGTGAAGAGGACTCTGGTTTACTGTTGGCAGGACTGCAAACTGGCATGCTGTTATGGAACACAGTGGAGGTTCCTCAAAAAGTTCAAAATAGAACTACCACACAATCCAGCAATCCTACCTCTGGGATATCTACCCAAAGGAAATGAAATCATTTTGTAGAGAAGTCTACCACTGAACCACCCATGCACCAATGAAATCACTTTCTAGAAGAGATACCTGCATTCCCATTGTGCTGTTATTTACAAAAGACAAAATATCAAAGCAACCTGAGTACAGTGATTGATGAATATAGAAAGAAAATGTGGTATGTACACATACACACTATACATTCAGACACTCATATCCATATGTACACATACACATATACATAGTATTTCATTATATACATGCACAGCATTTCATTATATACATGCACAGCATTTCACGGTGTGTGTTTGTGTACACACACAACAGAAAGTAGGGACTCCCACTCTTTGTGACAAATGGATAGACCTTGACAACTTTATGCCATACAGCAGAGAAAGAAAAATACCAAATGATCTCACATATGTGGAATCTAAGAAAAGACAAATTCATACAGCATAGCATGGTGGTTCTGAGGGCTGGAGAGTGAAGGATTTGGAGAGAAGTCCCTTAAAGGGTAAAAACTTCCAGTTATAAGATGAGTAAGTTCTGGGATGTACAGTAGATGACTCTGGTACCAATACACATATGAAAGTTACTAAAGAGTAGATCTTAAATGTTCTTACCACACACAGAAGGTAACTGTGAGGTGGTGGAGGTGCAGGTGATGCTATGGTGGTGATTTCTTTCTACGTATGTGCACCAGAACCTCATGTAGCACACCTTAAACGTACACAACGTTACTACCTCAATGATTCTTGGTCCCATACAGGAGAGTCTCCTTAATTTTCATTATTTAACTTATTTTCTCTTGCATTTATAAATAACCTTACAAGTAAGTGATTTCAGATAACATACCTTTATCTTGATTTGATTTTCAACATTCACACTCAGGTTATTCAGTGCATTTAAAGCTTTCTCCTTAATACTGAGGTTGGCATGGTCTATTTTGCTTCCAACAATTGGAATACCACCCAACTCTCGAATGGTGACCTAAGAGGGAAAGAAACAGGATTATGACTTCAATGTGCACCCACATTCACTGAATTCTTTGCATCCACAAACAATAAAATTAATGACTCTTTGGAATTATTCCAATATACAATCTGTAAATCCTACATAATTTTTTACTATACATGACTTCATGTCTAAAGAAAATCAATGCAAAATAAAATCTGTTAAGATGTGCAAGGAAATATACTATGAAGATTTGCAGAGCTAATGCAATCATTTCAAAGCAGTTTCCAAACAAAACTGTTTTACTTTAAATAAATTATATGAATTTCCTATTAAAGGAAAATTTAAAAGAATACCATTACTTTTTTTCTAAATGAGTACTTTGCTAAAATGTATTCTTTGGAACACTAATTCCTCAAGATGTTACTAGATGTTCCAATTTAAAAAAGCAACATTTCATGATCAAGTGTGGATAAACTGAATGTAACAAAAGTTAACATTTATCTTTACTGTGATGCATTAAAAGGTTCCCATGCTTTGTCATGAATATAAAATTATTCTGAATTTATACTTCAGTCCAGTTTTTGCTATCATGGTAAGACTCCTATAAAGCTCTAGAGATTTACAGGGAAACATAATTGAGATACTCCAAAAGACAAGAGAGCAAGTACTAGCCAGGAAGTGGAGAGATGGGAACCGAGGAACCACGGGTTGGACTGTAAACTGGTACAGTAGCTACGGGCAACAGCAATGATACAGATGAGTCTCAAAAAAAATAAACCACCACATGATACAACAATCATGTTCTGGGTACATTTCTATCCCAAGGAAATCCCCACTTATTAGGAGACAGAAAGTGTTACCCCTCCCTGGTGGCTCAGCGGGTTAAAGCACAGCACTAAGAAACTAAAGCCACTTCAGCATGAGTTCGATCCCCTACCCGGAGGTGACCACATGGTGTGGCAGACCTCTCCTGGCCCACCCGCTGCTCCCCTCAGCTGTGTACTTCAACACTCTGCCTGTTCTGTACCCCACTCTGTCTCTGGTGAATCTTCTCACCGCCCCTGTACCTCTGGCCTGTACCCCAGCTCTGTATGCACAAATAAATGTTAAAGGGAAAAAAAAGATGTATCAATTGCTTCAGTTCTTACAAGAAAGGTGAAAATGACCCGACAGGACAAGTAATGTCATTCTACCAGAGCCTCTGGCCTTCATCCACTTCTTATCAACAGCCAAATACTTTTCTATTATGGGTAGCTTAGCAGTGAGTGAAAAAAAGAAACTTTCCTTCTGTAACTCTAGTTTTTTTTCCCCAGGGACTAGTGGCTACTAGAAAACTATTTTTTATACTGTACTGTTAAGCGACCAAGGCACTGTAAGTGGTGAGGAGGGGCAACTTGGCATCCGTTCCCAAAGAAGCTGTTCAGCAGGCTGCTACTGAACCACTCCGACTACCCTCCAAGGGCAGGAGGCTGCCGGAAACACCTGCACGCACGGTAATAAAGCGACCACTGTCTAGCATGGTGCCTGCACCTCCTCTACTCCAGTCAGTAATGCTCACACGATGCTGCTGTCTGGCCGCAGGACACCCGGGGAGCCAGGGCGTGATTGACAGGTGGGGCTCCGGCCGGCAAAGCAAGCACACCTTCCAGACCACGAGCTACAGGGATGGAGGCTGAGAGACCAGTGGCTTTCTGTTCAGCCCTGAGAAGAAAATCTTCTATGGTCAGAGATAACAAGATCAACAAGCAGGGAAAGGCAAAGTCAAAAGCAGAAAGCGAGTTCTGATGACGCTTCTCGTAACCTGGAATTACATTCTCTTGTGCCTAAAACCAATGCTATTTTTGGATGTTCAAGTTGGCTCATTATTTTCTCCTTTTGTTTTAAAATGATGTAAGTTGGGTTCCATCACTTGCAAAGGAAAGTATGTGAATAATACACAGTATTTTTTATATCTCGCTGTACAATTGTTTTACAGTAAGCCTAGACATACTGGAGAAAACTGGAACAAAGTATACAGTTAAAATTATTTTGTATTTATGACAATGTGAGTGAAGGCCATAGCCGAAAAACACTGTAAAAAGCTTTTGACTCTTTCCATGTGAGAAGGGAAAAGGAAACAAGTTCTTTATTTTTTCTTTACTTGTAGAAACATTTACACTACTGGTTGTCAAAATGGGATCCAGGAATTACTAGCATCAGAATCATATTTGTGAGACCTATATACAATGTAAAGCATATATTTAAATGTTAGGTGCTTTCATATTCTCTTGAAACACTCACTTCTGAATTTTAAATAATATAAAGACCCTGTAATGCAAAGTATTAGCAGTGTGATACCAATGACCAACTTCACAGGGAACTAGAATCCTGTTAAAATGTTATTAGGCTGTGCTTCTCAGAAGTAAACATTATGCCGTATTTTTAAGTAACCACACTGCATGGAAGAGGATATGGAGGCTAGGAGAGGTCACAATTAAATTAATCAGTGTGTAAAATGGGAGGAACCTGTTCCTGGGACCAGCACACTTACTTGGTTCACTGAAAAGGCTGCATTGTTACCAACAGTGACCAAAGCTCTTTCAATAATTCCAGGATCCTCAGTTGATTCAAGCAGGTAAAGGAGCTTCTGAAGTTGCTCAGCATTTAGTACATCATCATAGGAACCATTGGTCAAGTCTTCTGTGTAAAAAAGAAGTTATTTAAAATTCATTTCAATGAAAAAATTTTAAGCATCAAAAAAATTAACTGTACAAACATCACATGCATAGCTGATGCTTGGTGTAATACTTAGCATCTCAAATGCTTTATCTCATTTGAACCTCAAGCAAAGGCATCCAGGGAGATGGTGGCAGAGAGAAGATACAGGGTAGCAACTCCATACACTCACAGCCAGAGCTGAACAAAGTCAGAAAACACTGTAGGCACAGTGGTCCCACAGACAGAGGAAAGGAAAACTTTAGGGAACTGTGTTTACAGTGACACTGGGCAGTATAACCCATGAGAGGTGAGGGGGAGGCTGCTGTGCAGAACCCCTAGTTGTTGGCTCCGAGTAGATGCCAAGATTAGGGATTAGAGACCGGTCCCTGCATGGTAGGGGGTGCAGAGTTGGTGCTCAGGACAATGGGTACACAGGTGGAAAGCTGCAGGTGAGGGGTGCTTAGTGAAGGTCACTCTTAGGCCTGAGGTGCTCAATACCGCTTAGCTGGAGACTGAATTGGGGCAAAACAGATCACCTGTGTCTCTGTGGGCAAAAGGCTGTTTCTTAAAGAGGCTGTGTTGTAAAGCCATGGTCAGAATATTTGAAATACCTGCCAACCCTCACCTAGGGGCTAAAACCAAAACACTGCAAGTAACTGGAACAAACACCCCAGGATAAGGCTCTGTGCTGGAAAAGACCAGAACTCCCAGCATGGGTCCATATCAATTATACTTCACCTGTATCAATTATGCCCAATCATGCCCAGCACTGCATCTAGTGTTCAAAATTAACCATGAGTAGAAGCTGACAAGATTAAATGAAACACTGAAACTAACTCTAGTGGGGGATCACTGTGAATCTCCAAAACACAATGCTTGCACTCTCAGTGCCAGGAATCCCTGACTCTCAGAGCTGCTGAGCTTTGGTGCCCTACTGTGCGGTTGCCATGGACCCCCTCACTACCCCTCACCGGGACTAACCAACTACATTAACACAGTGTAAAGACAATAAGCAGAGTAGAAGTCTACCCTATTGCAACCCACTTAAGTCAAAAGCAAGGAGACATAACATACCCCAAGTCTTAATCCAGCAACTGGAGAACATGGCCAAAAGGGTTCCAAGTGGTAATTGTAACAGTGCTTGCAGAACCACAAACAAGAAATCCAGGATATGAAAGAGCAACAAGTAGTAAGAAGGTACAATTTGAAACAGCTAAGAAACACTATAATCAAATTTAAAAACACAATTGAGTGCCTCACAGAAAAATAACAGCAATGAGAATTAATGACACAGTGTCAAAGAACAGACAAACAGAACAATGTAGAGAAAAATGAATGAAAAATGAGAGTAGTGAAAAGCCCTTTAGGGTAACTTACTGAGAAATAGCATCTTAGTAGAACATTTAAAGAAATAAGGTCTGTATGCATAAATAAATAAATAATAAAAAAAATCTCCATCTGGGAAATGAACCAAGTATTTTGTGATCCAAGAGACCTGACCAGTTCCAGACAAAATGCCAAGACACAAGACATCATCATCATCATCATCATCATCATCATCAAGCTGTTAAAAGCTTATGACAAAGGCAGAATACTAACATCACCAAGATAATAGTAATAAAAAAAGAGAAACCTATAAGGAGACACCAAATGAGCTGTCAGAGACTTTAGTAGAAACATTACAAACAGCAAGAGTGGCAGGGGATATTTAAAGTACTTTAAGAAAAGGATTTCCTGTCCATAATCCTTTACCTAGCAAGATTCAAGTGCAAAGTAAAAACTAAAATAACTTACCAACATCAAGCTGCATATAAGAAATCTTAATGGGGTAATTATAAAACAGAACAATGAATACAGAGGTAACAGATACCTAAATCATATAACATGGAGGAAGGAGGAGAGTTACAATGTGGTCCACAAAAACAAATCAGAGGCCAAACTGTCTAATAGGTGACATCGTTATCTCATATACTAACCTAAATTAACGGATCAGATACTAATCAAATTCCATAACCTCAAAAGAATGAACAAGTTTCCACACCAATAGTCTCCAAGACTAATCCCAGGTGCTGAACAACTATTTAAACAAGTAATCACGTGTATGAAAACTGAAACAGTAATAAAAAATCTTCCAGAATCCAAATGCTCAGAATTAGGCCACTTCATAAAGATTTCTTTATTAAACCTTTAAACAAGAACTAATGGCCCATTTTGCTCAAATTGTTTTTTAAAATTCAAAAGGGAATGTTCCCTAATACATTTCATGATAACATTACCCTAAGTGAAACCAAAGAGCACAAGAAAATTATAGACCAATATCCCTAATGAATATTGCTATGCTAAAATATTCATTAAAATACTATCAAATTGAGTCCAACAGTGTATCACAAGGACTATGCACCATGATCAAGTGGAATTTATCCCATGAGTACAATGGTGATTGAATGTATGTAAATCAACCAAATACACAGTATCAAAAGATTAAACAATCATGATCATATTGGCCCTCCCTGATGGCGCAGCGGGTTAAAGCACAGCACTGAGAAGCTTAAGCCACTTCCGTATGAGTTTGATCCC